CCCATCACTTGCTCTCGGTTTAAGGGCTACCCTTGACACTTCTCAGAAATTCTAGTGGGCCCCAACTGCCCTAGCCAGACTGAGTGCTGGAGTTGGTTTATCAGGAGGTATCACTCCACCTCTTTTCCATCTACATTTGTTTGAGTGATTTTAGAGCTCAATTCAAAGTATTGGATTAAGGGAAAATTCTCTAAGGGAACACAAAAAGAAAACAACTCCTTATATTCCAAGCCATATGATCGTAAGCCATTTTTCTTGGTGGAAAAGTAGGGTACAAATCAGTAAAATAAAGCAAACCCACGAGGCATAAGCATGGCTCTGTGGCCATGGAATGCCGACTAGTCGTTGGGTCAAAGAACAGAAAGCTGGGAAGGGGAGAAAGGGGAATGGATCAGGTCCCAACACCAGTGCATTTGGGGTGGCCATGTGCCTCTTGCCGAAGTCGTCTTTCTCTTAAAGGCGGCTGCAGCAGAACAAGGACAGAGCAGCGTGCTCAGCCCTGCCTGTGGTTCATGTGGATGATGTCATTGTGCCTGTCTGCTTGAGAGCACTGGAAAAGCCATAATCCACTTACAACCTTTCACAGCAACTGAATCAGACAGTGCACATCATTACATGGTGCTCCATGAATAATTGCACAGGGAGCCTTTTAATTCTCTTAAGCAGTACCTCCACCTCCGAGAGGTGAACCGAGCAGGACGAGAGGCCCAGCATGTCATTTCCTGAGCAGGCAATAAATCTCCACCAGGAAGCTGCCTGCACCTGCCTAGTGGCGGCTTCAGGCGTCCACTGTTGCAATCCGGAGGGAGCCAGAAAAACAGCCCATCCTGGGCTGCCAGTGGCCTGTGTCAGCGTAGGGCATCCCCGTGTTCTTTTACAGAGGACTGTCCCATTTTGGGAAGATTGTTCTGGTTAGTTCCCATTTAGAAACTAAAAACCTTCAAACATGGGAACTTTTGTGCAACAAGAGTTGGCATTTGAACATCAAACTGAACGGGTAGGTACAAAGATCATGGATTTTCACCGGAGGATGAGATGCAGTGTCTTTCTCTTGAAATGAGGGTCATTTTTAAATTTGCATCCATTAGTAAGTGCAAAGCACTGTCTTCTGTGTGGGATGATACATGTCCTTTTCCTTGGCAATTCTTAAGTCTCCCATTTGCCAGCTGATGGAGGCGCTTGCCACTTGCCAGCTCACCAGTTCGACAGGCTGGGTCCAGGCCCACCAGCAGGAAGGAGAGACTCTTGGAGCCAAACTAGATGTGATGGCAATTCAGTGATTGCAATTAATGCAGTGTATGGGTGTATTAAAACTAAGAATGGTGTTGACAAATCAGGACATCCCAAGTCCTGATGAAAGTTGGCCTGAAAATGCTATCTATAGGGACAGATACCTCTAGAGAGCCAGCGTGGGGTTGCGAACCCTACTAGGGACCTGGGAAATCCAGCTTCTAACCCTCGCTCAGCCAAGAAACACACTGGGTGACTTTGGGGAGGTCGTAGCCCCTCAGCCCAACCTGCCTTGTCGTGAGGATGGGGATATGTAAGAGGAAAAAGGCAAGATAAAAATGCAGTGCAAGAAGTAAATACAGCACCAGCATCCTTCCCTCTGCAAATGGAAGCAGGAGGAGCTGTCGCAGCTGGTGGGTGAAAGAGTTTGGCTCTTCCTGTTGCCCACCGCTGCTTGCCTCTCCCTCACCCACAGCAGCTACCCAGCTATCTCTGAATTGCATCTTCCTTACATTCACTGCAATGATGTGGTGCCTTATTTCTCCCTTCCTAGATTCAAACCAAAGGAGCAGCACCGACCAATTGGACACAAGCACAAACCCAACTAGCCAACCAGCAAAACCACGAGCAGGCCAGCAGCCAAAGGATGCCAGGGGGATACCGGCCGTGCTGTGGCAATGGTGCCTCCTGGTCTTACAGGCTTCCCTGGGACCCTCACAGCCTTTGGGTGTAGCTTGGTCCTGCAAGGGCTGCTACTGCTGCTGTTACTATTATTACATCACATCTGTACCCTGTCTTCCTTTTGCAAGGGACCCAAGAGAGCTGCTATGGTTCTTCCCTCTCATCCTCACTACCACCACCCCATGAGGGAGGTTAGACCGAGTAACCGAGACTGCCCCAAAGTTACCCAGTGAGCTCCAGGGCTGAGTGGGGACTAGAACCTGGAGCTCCCGAGTTGCATCCCAGCACTCTCAACCACTACCCCACGCTGGCTGACCCATTAGCTTTATAAGGTGGAGATGCCAATGTGAATTCATACAGCCACACACATTTTTGGACTCTTCCACCCAAAAGTGGCGGTAAGAACACCTGCACCTGCATTTTTAAATTCAGCACCATGCCACTGAGCACTTGCGTTCAGGGTTTGTACTGCTTCATGAAAGGCATATTAAAAAGTTTACAGAACTCACCGAGAGAGATATTCTTATTCAGTCACTTAAATGTCTTTTTAAAGACTCTTGAACAGATTAACGGAGACGTCTGCCTAGAGCTTGCAACTGTGCTGGCTAAACAGTACCTTGCATTTCGAGGCACTATACGAGATAGTAGGAACGAGCAAGGGGAAGGGGCTAGCAGCCTCCTAGCCTGCTTTTGAGTCAGAAGGTCGGCAGAGTCCAACCGCACCGCAAAGCAGGGCTTGCAGAATCTGTTCCATCTACTCCTACAGAAAGTTCCCATGACCACCACTTCTTAGTCCTCAGTTTGCAAAAAGGGCATCAACTGTATCTGTGGCTCAGCCTTTTCTAATAGCTTTAGCAAAGCAGCAACACAAGGGACCCTTCCGTGTCCTGCAAAGACAGGTGCTGCCCTCTAGTGTTTGAGAGTAGCTTTTCTGGGTTCTTCGTTTCTCAAGACCGCTGCTGCTGAAATGGCTGTCTCTCCACCTGCTTCTATTTCTGCATAGCACACCACACTAAGTGGCCTTTCTTACAGCATCCTGAGATGTGCAAACTGGTAAACCCAGAATGACTCCACAGCCACACCAAGCACAAACATGCAGGCATATCAGCAAATCCAGCCGTTTTCATCTCCTTTCATCTAAAGGAGTGGGCCTTGTGCAAAATGAATGGGTCTTCCTTGCCCATTCAAGACCAAGCCATTGCCCCAAATACTTACCATTCGAACAAGGACAGTAAACAGCAATAAACTGTTGCTTGGGGAAATCCTTTCCCCACCCTGCCAGTTGCTGTAAGGACTGCAGGTAAACTCAGAAGGAACAAGAGCTTTGGACACAAAACTTATGGGTTCACTGCCATCTCCTCTGAGTGCACGCCATCAAACACTGCTTGCTAAAGGGCAATGCCAGTGGTGCCGTGATCCACGTTTCTCCCTCCAAGCAGTACCAGCCTCAGCAGTATTTCTTTGCTTAATGATCTTCATTGCCACACAAGCGTCTCCGAGCATGCACAAAGCAGAGCATTGAACCCTTTTTACTGTCCATTCCCTGAAACTCTCCTCATGAGCCCTTCTGTATCTCAACACCAGGGGAGGACACGGTGAGAACTGGCATGCCTCCATTCCTTCTGTTGTGCCCCTCATTGGGCTTCCCTCTGGCGATGACAGCGAGTGACCAGGTCGACCTCTGCAGGGGGCAGGAGTTCTCCATCGGAGAGACTTCCCATCTTGATGTCTCCTCCTTCAGGCTGCAATTCCTTAACATCCCCAGGTTGTCTAGCCTCCTCACCGGCCCTTGGACTAATCTGCCCTACCTCCACCTATTGTTGGGTCTCAGCTGGAGTTTGAGTGGGTTCAAAAACAGTCTTATCCTGGAAATCGGAATCAGAACCATCAGAACCACCGGCACGAGAAGCCTCCCATGAGCACACATAAAGCTGGGCAGGACACACACGCACAAGGAGTGGTGAACTTCCTGGAATGGCGTGGCTCTCCAGTGGGGAAGGGATCTGAGGCTAGAGAAGGTTCAGCTTTGGTCTGCTCCAGCACATCTCCTGTTGACCAAGGAGATTAACTAGGTGAAATTAACCTAGACTATGCTGATAGAGATTTGATATTAGCAACATCAGAAGCATCACGCTGGATCAAATGGGAGGGATCCACCTGGTCCAGCAGTTGTGTGCACATTGCCCGAACATTGTGGCAAACCCTAAACAGGGCATGCAATAGACTCCTGGGGTCTTCTCCACCAATGGGTGTCCACAGACCTATTGCCTCTGGGTGCTCCATGGAGCCTTCTTCCCACAGGTCCCTCAGTGAGCTTCATGGCTATGTGGGGATTTGAACCTGTATTGCCTGATTTCCAGCCCGACACTTAAGTGGACTTAACTCGTGATCCTTTAAGTTCCTGCTTTCTTGCTGGCATTTCTGGCATCAACACAAGTGTGAGGAGAGGGAACTGGAGGCTAAAAGAAGTGGGGCAGAAGTAAGAGAGGAGAGGCAGTAGGGGAAGAAAAGCCTCCAGGTGGGAAGGAAGAGGTGAGGACAAAAATGTAGGAATCCTGAAAGGGGAGATAAGAAAATGTGCCTATAAACCGCCCCCCCCCCCCCCCCCCCCCCACCCAAAGCAGACCCCCCACAACACTGTCCTATCAGCTTCAGGTCTAAAAGTTGGCCAATGTCCATTCGAATCTCTGTACCACGTTAACCAGTAGATCCGCTTTTACTTTGAAAAGGTGGGAAACCTGATCATAGCTCTCGCAGTGTCTTACCTAGTTTGGTCCCTAGAAGAAAGAGCTAGCAAGAATGCAGGTAAGAAAACTAAAATGTGCTATGCATTTTTCATCTCCCAAAAAGCACACATACAGTCCTTTAACTTCCTTTCGACTGAAGTAGATGCAAATTGTACAGAATTCTCCATGCAGCAAAAAGCACCCACACAAGAACAATTTCTCCCTCACCACCTCAGTGATCTTTACTTTAACTAGCCTGTCTTCATCTCTCTCTCACTCTTTCTCCATCAACTTGCTTTGAAAATGAGCTCTTCCGCAAAGTATGAGTAGACTCACATCTCATGGAGAGAATTCCAATCCTGCTTGACTTTTTAACACTGAAAAATCAGTCTATTTATTTTATTTCCCCTCCACATTACAAGTTTCATATCAAAATTAGAAGAGATTAATCTAAAAGATATCCTGTAACAAGGCAAACTGGTGACTTTAACAGCGATATTTAAAAAAAACATTCCTTAGAAAAAATGGCAGTTGATATTTCAGGCTCCTCAGATATTTCGCAATAGTTTCGAGGTTACCTGTGTCATCCCCACCCCTGCCCTGATCATCTTGTCCTGTGCACCAAGCATCTCACACACAAGTGGACCACTTTACTTTGACCCATTCCTTATAAACCGAGAGAGGCACAAGAATAGAAGATATGTCTGGATGCAAAAGAGCAAGAGAGAAAGAAGGCACATATTTATAGACAGTCAACAGCTTTGGAATCCACAGGGACTGGCGCTCACATCCTAAGTTTAAGGAACAAAATCCCTTTTATCTGTTTTTCCATGGCAACGAATCCATTATGCTTGCATGCTTTAAACAGTGTGGTGCATCTTTCAGCTGAAATCACGGTCTGGAAACACAATGGGAGCAACCAGAGTCCACAAGTAGAGGAGAAGCCCAACCCAACTGGAAGAGATCTTCACCCAGACCGCAGGCCAAGGGCTGGTCAGCTGCTGATGTTCTTGGTCAGGTCTGGGGAAAGAACATACACATGAATCAAGCCCAGGCTTAAAGACAGATCCAAGAACATTGCGCTAAGTTACCTGCCTTGCCATCACTTGTCCTGAATACCCAAACTTTCCTCTTCCTGTGAGGCAGGTGAGTGAGACTGAGAGATTGCTTGCTTGCTTCTGTTCAGGCTTGCTCAAGGTCATTGAATGATTCCTTATTCCCCACATGCACTTTTTAAAGACAAGGTCATGGGGACAAGTTTGTTGATAGATCTCTGGAACATCTACATTTGGAGGTTGCATGGCCCCAAATATCAATCACAAGAGCAGACAAGATCTACTGCTGTCCCAGCATGCTTCTTGGTTTCCAAAACTTTATGGCAGAGGCCTTGACTTCTTTCAGCCTGCAAGACAAGTTTCATTTCAGAGAAGCTCCTGGGGCTTCCCTGCAGCAGACAATGCCAAAGGCACCCAACTAGTACAATGTTTTAACATATAGCTTTATCTTCCAACAGCTAAGTCAAGCTTCCTTTCCCTCCAATGGCTTCAGAAGTGGTACTGGATAGCAATGGCAAACCTCTCTGTTTTTTCCCCAGAAAGAGAAACTGCCCTTGTTTCTTTATTCCAGTAGTCTGGAGGTTTTGACTCTTTCAACCTGAAGACCAAAATCAATTTTAGAGCTGCTTTTGTGATAAACAAGGAGGAAGGCAAAGGGGAAGGGGCTAAAAGACCAGCACTTTACAGCTTAAATCCCTTACTTCCAGTAACTAACCATTGAAGAAGCATTTCAGCTATTTAGAATGGGAGTGGAAGAACTTCACAGAGGATGGAAAGCCAACAAACTATTGGTGGACAGTGAAAAGGGATGAGTCTAAAGTCATATGTGTGACTCCCCCTCCATTACATTTTAACTGGGTCTCAAAAGTTCACCTTGAACAGTAGTCTGTGAAATTGCTTTAAGCCCCCTTAATAAATGACTACTCTTAATCTTTGCATTATTTGCACGGTATGGTTGAATTACCATTTGCAACCCATCTTAGCCATGTTCTGCGCTGAAAGGAACTATTTTAAAGCAAATGTGTGCTTTTTTCTCGATATTTGATCATGGCTGATGGCTGCCTGATAGGACCCACTGAGAACAGCAAGCCCTGCATGTAACAGTCAAAGACATGAGATAGACTACCAAGCCTGAGAGGTATCAAGAACTTTTCCAAAGGTGGCCCAAGGGCCATATATGTGCAAGCTGGGGGCACAGGCAGCATTAACACTTTGTTTTGGGGTTCCCCCTGAAATATTATCTACACAATTGCTCATTCCCCCTTTGTGCCCAATCCCATTTCATTTCTGTTTAGCTAGCAACACCTTCTTTCTCTTGTGAAGCCATGTCATCGCACTGATTCACTAAAAGCACAATGTTATCCAAGGTTAGACAGAAGACATACCTGCAACTCAGCATGGGGCAGCCGGCATCGTTGGTTGAAGCATGCCGGGAGCTGCAGAGGCCTTTCTCCTACCATTCTGTCTAAATTTGCAAAGGTGTGCACCCAGAAAAGATTTTTTCTGTTCCTTCTGTTAGAAGAAACTAGAAGCTTTTTAGGATCAGCCACTTTAAAAACAAAGCTTCAAGAGCAAATTCTAATTAATTTTAAAATATAGCACACTGCATTGCATCAGGACAGGGTGGGATAAAATTACACAAATGCAGCATTAAGATAAAAATAAAAAAACCCTGAGCATGCAATCCAGGGAAGTTTGCTTTTATTAATTTACATGCTCCATTAGAAGGAAAGAATCTAAGTCCATTCAAAGCAAGCCACAACTAGATGCAAAATACAACATGCATCTAAAATTCATCATCTGAAAATTAAATGCTGACTACAAACACAAAAATAGATCAGTAAATGCAGTTCAAAATGTAACCCAAAATCACGGTATATAACAACCGTAGCCTCAAATGTCAGATGCCTCCAAACTCAAGATTTGCACACATTCTGTGCTTGGAACAAGGCAACCTGGCAGAAATCTCTGCTGAGCATCATGCTGGGATGCTTATCACCACCAGAATTTCTACACTGCCTGCCCTCTGGGCAGTTCACAACAATTGTTCAACAATACAAAAAAGATACATTAAAAAACACAAACAAAATTATACAAGAGTGTAAAACAGTGTAAACATTGCAAACAATTTTGATAAAACTAGGCCACATCAAAACAACTGATAAAGCCATTAAATGCCTGGGAATAGAGGGCTGTTTTAACCTGACATTGAAAAAATGACCATGTTGGGGCCAGGTGGACCCCCATGGAGAGATCATTCCATGACTGGGGGCCCATCTCCCTTGTGATTTAGATGAGGAAGTACAAGGGAAGAATTAAATTTGCAGATGACAAAGCTGGGTGGAACAGCAAATACCCTGAAAGAGATAAGATACAGGGTGATCTAGATAGGTTAGAATGCTAGGCAGAGAACAACAGAATGAAATTCAGTGGGGACAAATGCCAAGTCCTCCACTTACCCACAAGAAACCAAATGTACCATTAAGATGGGGAATACTTGGCTTGACAATACCGCAAAGGAGAAGGATCAGGGGTTCTTGTAGATCACAAGGCAAATAGGAACCAACAAGGTGATGCAGCTGCAAAAAAGGCAAATGCTACTTTGGGCAGCATTAACAGAAGCATCATTTCCAAAACTCAGGAAGTACTAGTTCCTCTACACCTGGCACTAACCAGACCTCACTGGAGTCCTGTGTCCAGTTCTGGGCACCTAAGTTTTAAAAAGGTGCAGAAGAGCTAGAAAGGGTAGAGAAGAAGGGCAACAGGGATGTTAAGGAACGGGATACAAAGCGCTGTGAGGAAAGATTGGGAGAACAGGCAAGTTCAGCCTGAAAAACAGAAGAGTGATGGACATTATGATAGCACTAAACAAGTACCTGAAAGTCTGTTACAAAGAGGAAGGACTAGATCTCTTCTTGTCCATCCCAGAGTCCAGGACATGGAATAAATGAAATATAAGTGAATAACCCCATTCTAAAGCTATCTAGGTTGATGGCCAGTCTTCAGCTCTTGGGAGTCAGAAACCAGTGCAGAACCACCCCCCTCCCCCCCCTGGATACAGAATGCCTCTCAATTCCAGGCACAGGGAACTGTGTTCGACTTCCTGGTGGAATCTGGTTGGCTCCTGCAGAAAACAAGACTCCAGATGTGGATACAAACCCTACATACATGCCTGTAGGGTTTGCATCCACACATATCTGGAATTTAAATCCCACTAACTCAGAGGGGGTTACTTCCATGTAGACTCATACAGGATTGTGCCAGGTTGTCTACTGTGATCCAACCAGGCTGCTACATTCGGAGAAGCAAGGACAAACATGCCAGGAGCGTGTCAACAAGACACTAGCACTGATCTTAACATGACCTGCACAAGGAGCTCTGTATAGCAGCATCAGCAAAAGAGCCCCATTCCAGCTGCATAGCAACTCACAGCGACTCCTGTGTACAGCAGCCGCGGAAAAAAGGCAAGTCCAAATGGAAGGAAAGCCAGTTTGAAAGTAGGAACCAAAAATATCCTAAAGAGGGCCAGAAAAGCAGTTACTGCAAAAGCAAAAGTGCTTTTTCACATGACGCAAACCTAACCTAATGAATTCTCCATCCAGAAAACATGGGTAACAGCAAGTCACTTCAACAGCTTTTCAAATGAGATGGGCAAATTATTTAAGAATGGGTGGGACAGATCGGGTGGGAGGTGGCAAAAGGGCAGCCCCCCCCCATGTGTGTGTGTGTGTGTGTGTGTGTGTGTGTGAGGGAGGGAGGGAGAGGGAAAAGGAGAAGGAGAAGGAGAAGGAAGAGAAATGAGGTATTGCTTTTGGCCTCCGCAGTGGATTTGATTTCATTTCCAAGCTTGTGTGCATGGCAAAAACACCTTCAGAGATGTGGCTGAAAAGTGGACTGTGGGAACACAACTTACTGCGCAGACTATCCTTGCAGTGAAACCTTTTAGTGCCAGCTCCTAAACAGACTCCCACCACATGGGTGTAGTAAGAGAGAAATGCCCCAAATTACCTGCTGAGCAGTTTTAACCCTTCCACATACACACGCACAAGATTGCCTTCCAGACCCTCAAGGCCCCTTATTAGTACTGGAATTATCAGAGAACAACAGGAGTTTTGGCTGACCCCAACTGCTGTGACAAACTATTTCTTTGTTGCGGTCACCTGCCAGGCCTGCCTTCGGACACTGACTCCCAAAAAATAGCTTCCCTGAAAGCTCTTTGGCCCACAAGCCCTTGCTTCAGAACCCAGCATCCACGGGAGCGCAGGAATGGCCAGGGCGGATCTGGCAAAACGGGCCGGCTGTTGGCTGGCCTGGCGTCACAGGCCCGTCTCTACGCTACCCAAGAAAAAACGCTGAGCGGCGGCATCTTGCAGAGCTGCTTGGCACGGCTGCAGGTATGCTGTGTGACAGAAAGTCACGCTCTATAAATAGGCAAGCAGTTGCAGCTGCAGGGAGAAGTATGTATGCGAGGCAGGCAGAGAGCGAGGTCTCAAACCAGCAGGCAGGCTGCCTCCCTGATGGGGTGTCCATTCAGCAGAGGCAGTCCCTGGCCGTGAAGACTGCCTGCCTTCCACGGCTCCCCCTGAAGCTGAGCAGAGTTCAGCTGAGGAGATGTTCCCCTTCTCCTTCCCAAAAACTCCATCTTGCGGAGCCTGATGCTCCCTGCTCGTTACCTAGGCAACATCAGGTACTGGGCAAAGGAGAACACCCTAAGCCCGAGGAAAGAACTCTTTTCTGTCGCGTTCTTTCAGTGGACCCATAATTCAGTGCTGGCCTGGTTCAGATGAGAGGATAACTGCACTAAAGCTAGAGTAGAGGTTGTGGCTGAAACCCTGGCTTGCGTTCTAAGAAGCCATGGCTTGTTAACCATGAGAAATTTCATCAGGAGAAGCCATGGCCTCTTGTGGGACTGGGAACTGTATGTTGTTCATTATCATTTCTCTTGTATGGGGTGGAGTAGCCCCTATTTCAATGCCAACCCACAGTTCAACAATGACACACACACACAACTCTTAAGCATGGGTGGTCAGGTCGTCTCATTGCTGGCAGCGTATCCTTTAGCCCTGAATCAGCATCCGGTTCTGCACACAGGTGGCTCAGCCACCCTGACCAGATTTTGATAAGACCTGTGCAGAGCAGGTGGGTCCGGGTCCGGGTCCAGTCCTCAGCAACCGCCCAGTCAAAGGACAGAACAGGTGACGGGAAAGATGCCTGCAAGATGGCTGGTGCTATTCAGAGGAGACAACATAGGCTCGACCAGGAAAAGACAACTTGGTGCCCTTCAGCTGTTGGGGAACAGAACTGCAACTCCCATCAGCCCCAGCCACCAAGGATTACAGAATCTGTAATCCAAGTTCTGGAGGTTACAAGGCGGCATACCGCTGAGTAATCTAGCTTGATGTAAGGCGGCGGCCTGTTTTTTTTGGCTGGGGAAGTGGGGGGAAAAGGGAGGTCTCGCCTCCTTTCCAGTGCAGGTTCTATTACAGTGCTCTGTCGGAAGGTGGACTGGGCAGCTGTGGCTGAACTCCGGCTGAGGACAGGGAGCAGGGTTCACAGCCTCAGACTCCCGTGGGGCAGCCAAATTAAACAGCTGCCTGGGGGATACACTCCCTGCTCCTTTGGGCACCAGGCAGAAAGGAAGCAACTTTTAAAAACCAGCCAACACACCCAGGGTTCACAGCAGCACAAAATCAAGTGTGCAGACGCACTGACCTCCATCATCTCCTTTCGGATCCCCTTTCCCTTTCCTTTGCCGACATGCATTGCACGTGCACAAACACACACGGCAGAGCTATGCAAGCCCGTGGTGCTCCAGGGCACACTTTTCACTGCCATGCTTGCAGAAATAGAACCATTCACTTTGCCATTCATTTGCCTTTCACCTTTCTTCACTTTAAGAACTTGGCTAGAAGAGCAACATTCATTGGAAACTATGCCCTGTTGGATTTATCCTGTCCTTCCCATTCAACCGCGTTCATAATTTTAGCCTGCTTTTCTTTTCAGGTTATCACCAGAAACAACAACAATGCATCAGTTTAAAAGCAGACCAGATCAATTAAGAGACAAAAAGGCAGCAGAGGAGAGAGGCCAGAAAGAAAACTCAAGTCGCAAAGACAAAGCTAGGCAAATAAAGAGCTCTTTACACCATAAGGCATCCATGTGTCAAAGTTCCACCAAGGAAGAGCTCCACAATTGGGGCATCTTAACAGAGGAGGCCCCGATTCTTGCATGCACCCACTCGATGCCACATATTGGGGGCATCAGAGGGAAAATCCAAGCCATGCAGGACTTCCAGGCAGACAAGCATGGAGCCGTGGCCATGAAGGTATTTTAATTTATTTGTTGTATTTGTATGCCACCCCACAGCCTGGGGGCTCTCTGGGTGGCTCACAAAAACAGAAGCATCATAACATAACTATATTCAAATAAAACATCTAAAACCACATAAAATCAAATTAATGTAAGGTGCAAAACAGGAGGGAATAATTAACAATAAACAGCAGTGAAACACAAATGAAACCATAGTTCTAAAAGCAAGTACTCAATACAGAAGGTCTTTATTTATGGTGAAAACAGAATAATGAGTCTGCCAGTTGCTCCTTTTTAGGAAGAGAGTTCCAAGGATGATTCGCAACAACAGTGAAGGTCCTTTTTCTAGTCAATTCTCCCCTCACTTCATGGGTCATGAAGGAGGGCCTCTGTTGAAGATCTAAGTGGTCTGGCAGGGATATATGGACAGAGGTGTCCCTTTCGATATCCCAGTCCCAAGCCATTTAGGGCTTTGAATGTAAGCGCAAGCACTCTGAATTGTATTTTCACCTGAGATAGGAACCAAGCCAAGGATAAGCTCTCAAAGCATCCCACAATACAAAAGCCACTTCATGGATTCAAAGAAATTTTCAGACTCAACTCTTAAGGAAGCCAGAAGGACTCCTGCAGCCATAGAAGTGGGAGGCGGGCACAGTATCTGTCTCCAAGAGGCGTGTTTGTGTTTGCATGCCTGCTTGCATGCTTGTTTTTAAATAGGGTTTGAACAGGTCACCAGAGGTCCTTCAGAATTCTGGTACCAAAGCCAAGAAAGCTCCCTTCGTTCAGGCACCTTGAAATGATGGGCCGTCGACAATCCCACTGCCCTTGGAACAAGGAACATGTGAGGGGGAAACATACAGAAAATGCTTTCCTAACCTCACTCATTCGGAAAAAATCAGAGGAGCTTGCCAACACGTTTCATCTCTCTGAGACATGAGCCTCACGTGATGACACGTGATAGCACAGAAGTAGGGCAGAGAGCAGTTGTCTCCAGCTAAAAAGGTCCCAGGCCAGGCCTGGGAAGATGTCCCTATAGCACAAGGTCGCTTAACCCAGCCTGGTGCCCACCAGATGAACTGGATGACAGCCCTCATCTCCAGCCTGGAGCACGGCAGGAGCAAGAATCAGGGAGGCAGCAATTGGGGGGAAGGATGCCACAGGACTGACAGGGAAGCAGCCAGCAGCTCTCATCCAGCAGGCTGGAGATCGTGCCGCTCGTTCTGCACTGGGATGCTCACAAAGTGGCCGGGCTGCTGCCCCAGTGAGAGGGCCTCACCAGGCACAAGCCGACAGAGCACTGCCCCCCGGGGCACCCCAGCAGCTGCTCCTCAAAGGCACACTTCCTCCAATGCCAAAACAAGCATGTGGCCACCATAGCTAGCAGGCATGGATGGCCTCATCCTGTCCACTGCCCCGTGACTGCTCCATGCTGCAGTTCAAGGAGGGCTGCCTGAATCACACCCACGAACTTCCAGAGACACAAAGAGAACTGACAGGTCCACCCAGGGAACACGTTTCCGCAAATGCCCCAGACTGGCTTTCGACCAAAGCCATTTGGAGCTTTGTAGGTTAGAATCAGCCCTTTCAGTGGCACCCAGAAACAGACGGAGAGCGGCCAAAGATAACGTCGGAAACATGCTCAAATGGAACCGGATGAAGCCTCCAAATGGACTTCACGAGTCAGTCCCTGCATGCAATGCCTCTTGCAGCCAAACTACCTGCCCCGAGAATGGCAGCACGTAGACAGAACATCTAGTGCTCTATCATTCCTAGCCAGCACAACCTCTGATAAGGGAGGATGGGAGTGGTAGTCCAAATTACTTAAAGGGGAACAGGCTGCCTATCCTGGAGAAGCTTGATGTTAGAATAAATAAACAGCTAAGTGAGCATAGCCTCTTTTCAGAGCTGAAATACTGAAGTTGAGGAGGAAGGGATTAAAACTACCACCATCATTTTCTCTTCTGAAGTTTCCTACGGCAAGTTAAAAATATAAAGCCTGAAACGACACTGATGGAGATAATTTCATTTTAACCCCTTTACGGAGGTACAGGATTTGAGGAAAATATAAGGCACATATGACAGCAAAAGCTGCGGAAGGGTCTGACTTGTGAAGCCCTTTTGGAGGTTCAATCTGAGCAGGTTTCCAACATGGGTGCACCGTCCGCCCAGTTCCAATTGGGGCTGCTCACACTTACACTCAAGTCAATAAAAAGCTAAGCTTCAGCTACAAGCTACATGTCAGATACAAACTTATCTAAACTTGGAAGGCTGGGCCGTTTCAAGTACGTTTATTTGCAAATACGACAAACACAAAGAAGAGAGAACTCAAATGCAGGGCAGAAAAGAAGAAAAGAATGTCTCCTAAAAATATTAATGCACGATCATTATTCATCTTATTTTCAATATACAAAAGAATTTAAATGCTTCCAATTCAATGATATGCCTTAATATAAGGCGTCCAAATAAACTAAACCCAGAAGTAACCGTGGGAGAGAATAAATGGCCTGCACGTACCTGTACCAGTTGGTGAGTGTCATCATGATGTAGAGAGAAGCCAGGAGGAGGCAGAAGTGGAAGAAGGTGTAGCTGTAAGTCACCCCATCTTCTTCGTTGTCATAAGCCTGGTGCACCCCTTCTTCAGAGGCCGAATTACCACCCCCAAGCATCACTGGACTCTCCTCCGTCTGCATCATCTTGTTCACTTGCGTGTGGTCAGAAGAGCGGATGCTGAAGGCAAGGAGAAGAAAAGAGTTCCGGTAGTACACAGGAATGGAGACATCCGTAATGGTTTCAAATGAGTTCTGGTTTCTATAATTCTGACTTACATATTCTGCAACAGACCGGCTTTTTCTGAGTCAGGCGAATTCCACGATGTTGCAGAGCATTTATTAACTTGGGTATGGGCCTGTGCTAACTCCCCTGGTGCATTTGCGCCAGTCCGTGTGCATGCTTGTGCATTCAGTGCTCATTCTCATTGACTGAGCAACTGCATAAACACATAGTACAAACGTGAATATAAATACAAAGAATTAAATTCTCGTAAACGATCCTGACTCCCTCCATCAATCAACAGGTGAAATTCACCTGCCAGTCCAAGCAATGGATTTAAGAAAATGTGTATATTCTGAGTTGTACATACCAGCATCTTTTCTACTGTTATATGCAGGCACTCCCCTGCCCCACTCATGCCTGGCATGGGAGAATACCCACCCTTCTTAGGACTGACCAATATCTTCAACTTAGGTTCCTTTTTTTAAAAAAAGGTATATTTACTGATGGTTGTGCACACAGCTTCGGTAGCATACATCACTGGACAAAAGAAACACACATTGCCAGCTACCCAGACAGGGTTCAGTTCCCCTGCTGCGTACTCCTTTTCATGTAAAAATGAGACTGCTCCTTGTGTTAAAAAAAGATAACACACTTGTGGTTGCCTTATCATGTCTGCCTTCACCCCCACAGAAAACTGTTTGGTTTCAGAAGTACAGATAAGAGATAGTGGTAGTTGTAAGAGCTGGATGGAATATGATGGAATACAACGTCCATTTTAAAATGGTATCGAAGATCCCTGCAGGTAGAAAACTAGCAGGTCAGGGAAAGTGTTCTGGCTGAGCTTTCTTTCTGCAGGGATTTTAATAAAGTGGGGGAGCATTCCATCATCTCTGTCTCCTCCCCCCCCCCAGTTGGCAGAAAGCCAAAGTTGCACTGAAAATGAACAAAAGTGTGATATTGATTTAAGAAATTTGTTCTCACCTTCTTAGTGTTTTCTCCTCTGTTTCTGGAATGACCTCTCCAGAAAGACCTGCCTAGCATCTACCCAAATACATTTTTGGTGCCAGACCAAAGCCTTTCTATTTTCCTAGGCTTTTGAAAAAAACATTTAGCACTGCAGATTTCTGTCCCTCCCGGTTTTAAATGAACCTAGCTCTGTTGTTGCTGCTCTTTGCATTCTCTTTTGAAACTGACAATTCTGATAACATTGTGTTGCTTTGGTTTTTGTGCTAAAAACTTTGTTCCTGTCATTGTATTGAACTTTAATGGAGTTAATACTTTTGTATTCTAAACATTAAGCAGGAAATTGCAGTTATGGGGTGCTTATACAACAAAATAATAAAATATCAATGACCAATTAATAAAAATCCACCAGCATTTTTCCAGGACAGCTTTCCTCTTCCTGGAAAAGCTACCACAAGGAGCACTTTGACCGTCTTAAATTTGTCCAACTCCCTTGCATGCTTATTAATCTTCCCCTAATGCTGTTTATTTCTCGTTACCACCAGAGGGAGACTGGAAGCTAAAACAGAAGTAATTTCCGTATATTCCAAGTTGGTTGGTTCAGTCAACAAAAGCCATGGTGACTTATAAACTAGGATAGCTTGCAGTGTTGTCTGAACCCAGAAGCACAGTTCATTTAATGTGTTCATTTTTATACTGCCAAATAGCCAAAGCTCTCTGGACAATTACAAGTTAAAATTAAACAAATGTTAAAGACACAAACACAAACATTAATTAAAAAAACAAAAACATAATTTCAATTGCTATTATTCAGCACAGAAGCATAAAGCGGGATATATAAAAACAAAGTTGAAAGGTTAGTTTGCTAAATGCTGGGGAAATTAAGAGGCCTGCACCTGGAGCCGAAAAGAGCACAAAGTGAGTGCCAGGCACACCACTCTGGGGAGCCCATTCCAAAAATCAGGGTGCCGCTCCTGAAAAGGTCATCCTCCTCAGAACCAGCTACCTCCCAGAGACAGACCCCGAGTGGTTTAGCAGGGTTTAGACATGACAGGGAACCCTGGTTTATGGTTTATCCTGTTGTGTGACTCCAGTCATTCCAAGGGTAGTGACATGAATGCTTTAGGTTTTGAATAATGGTTTTGCATGGAGTTTAAGTGTTTATAAATTACTAATATACCCCTCTTGCCAATATCTTTGTTGCTTTCATTTTCTCCTCCAGACCAGCAGAGCCATATTCTGCACTTGTCCAAGAGTTTTCCAGCATCATCTACACACGGATGGATGGAGGCTCTCTGCAATTTCCACCATGTCTCTCACCCAACCTTTGCTGAACAAGTCAGGGACTGTATAGGAGTGAGCAATTCTGTCCCTGAAACATCTCAGCCCTGGGAGAAGTAGGGAGGGTGCATCCCTGCAGAGTACCACCAGCCACCGCAAGATGCTTATTGTCCAAGTCTCATTCCAGTAGGACCTCTAGTGAAGGAGGTGGAAGTCATATTGAAAGGGCCACCAGTTCCATTAGCTCCAGTTTGGCGCTGAAGGCAACTGGAGTCCAAAAGAGGTTGTGTACCTTGGCTGTGTAGGAGCCATTTTTCCTTAAGCAGTTAATGCTTAGATAGTCATATAGGTCAGTAACATTTATGTATGTGCACCCAGGAAGATAAGAAGATGATATTAACAGCCAAGGCTGTCTTTTTTTAATCCAGTATACGACACTTTGGGAATAACAGTTTTGCAGTGTGTTTATACTTCCCAGGCCTGCTGTTTTGTTTTCTGTTCTAAATGTCAATGAATTCTCACCTTATAAAGAATGTACACAGGACAAAGATGACTAATCCAACAATGCTTGGTGCATCCCACCACTGTGTTGGCTCTCCACCAGCAGGCGCGGAGGTGGTGCTGTTGCCCTCGTTTCGGATCAGCAGGGTTGGGTTGCAGTATTTGTCTGTGAAGGAAAAGCGAATTACATCTAAATGGAAACCACCACCAAGATCCACAGAATCTCCTCAGTTTGCACAAGAAGCGGAGGGGGAAAGTTCCTCTTTGTGCCTGATGGACACCATGCTTAGAAGGCCTCTCTTCATCCAAATGAGTCGCATTTCTTCTGCTCTGGAAGACCATGTTATAGAAAAAGGATGGGAAACCTTGGAACTTTCAGATACTGCTGGATGACACCATCTATTGAGTACAATTCCTAGCTTTAACCTGCCCGCCCACCCACCCCCCAAAAAACTGATCCTCCCCCCACCCCTACAATTCTATCTCAAAGTATTAATCTGTTTGCTTTATGGATCACTATTTTGCCAAAAAAAAATGCAGGTATAGAAGCACCCTGATCAGAATGAAGCTTACGGCATGGAGGGAGGAGTTAAATCTTCCATTACTAGTGCAGACTGGGAACCCTGATCCTACTCTAGAGTAAATATGCCAGCTAGATATGGCTTCATCTTTCAAATAATGTCTGTTTATTGTCACAACTCGTGGTCCAAGCCTTCCAATGTCAACTGCAGCATCGACCTAAACTACAGAGGGGGCATCCTTTAAAATGACACAGAACAGCCCAGAAAAATTACCCTGAGGAATCTTCCAATGGCGAATGAAAGAGATGTCAGAGCCACAGCAAACAAATTAGTTCCACAGAACACACACCGAATACGAGAGCCAAATGGGGATTGTCTCCAGTGGAGTTGGCCCAGTTTGTCCTTTTAAAAGTCCTCCATTCACCAGCTGGCAGACTCGGCCATTCGATTTCTACATGCTGCGTACAAACAGTTCAGGGTGCTTGCGCTCCAGAGAATACTGTCCCACCATCACATGGAGTGAAGCAGAAGAGGCTGGTGGGGGGAGGAGTGGCAGAGAGGTGTTGCAGGACTCGGGTGCCATGCAGTTTGCCCCGTTTCCCCTGCTGTCCTCGGGTGCTGTAGATGACACTCTGTCCCACTGGTGGAGCTGAAGTGGGATTCCCAGTCCAATTGGCTCGTGTGTGTGCAAGAATTCACTGGGTCCCCCCCCCCCCCGCACACTCTATAGATTCCATCCATGATCTCAACTACACAGAACCCACCCTCAAGGGACCTAACATCCACGCTTGGTTGCCTTTCTACTATTCCTCAAATACAAGATTCAACATGGGCATAATCCTGGAGGAACTTGGGTTCGAGACATCTAGGTAGACTGACTAAAATACAGCTCATGCAGATGTTGGGGGAGAAGGGTCAAGCACTCTAAGCATCTATCCATTTCATATGGTCTGGGGGCACTGTTGGGAATTTTGATTTTTAAAAAGTAGGATTCAGGGTTTTTTTTTTAAAGGGCCAACAAAATATAGCAAGGGCAGGGCAGACTACTTACTCGGGACATTTGCCAAGGCAGACCAGGTTACAAACATGGTGTACAGTGTGATGATGGAAGCTTGCAGCAGGCCCGAGTGAGGCTGAGCATCCTGCAGAGGAGGAGAAGGATTCCAGTTAAGGTCCTGAGGCATCTTCAGAGCAAACAGGAGGGGGCAAGACATGATGCTGAGTGCATCCGTGCATGCCTGCATTTATAAATACATCACCTCCGCATGTCAAGAGTAAAGTCCCTTAGCCAGAGGCAGACAAGCAAGGAGGTCAGCAGGGGTATGGAGAGGGAGCTCAACCCGTTTCCTCCCCCACAGCAGTCTAAGGAGTCTCTCCCCCAAAGCTAGTATTTGCTGTGGGGCACCAGAACCCCCTACGGGCACCAATGGGGGTGCAATGAAATGCATGTTTTTAAAAGCCGGTTAAATACAAAGAGACATGACACCTGCGTGGCTCTTGAACAAACTGCATTTTAAAGAGGAGGAAAGGGAGCTGTGATGTTGTCAAAAGGGACAGGTACACAGACTGTCTGCATCAGGGTCTTGGGTGATAAGGCGGAGCGCTCAGAGCCCCTGTCTGTGGAGTCTAGCCCGTTTCATCCCTAGTCGAGCCAGCATCATCAAGATCCGTTCCCGCCAGGCAAATCTCCTCTTTGGTCGTAATTGGACCACCTCTTCCAGGAGACAAGGCTCAAAATAACCCACCCATGGCTCCGAAGAGCATGACTCAAACATTAAACATAAGCCAAAGGGCAGGCCCAGCTGATTTAAGTAGTGCTGCGGCTGCCTGCCCCCACCATCCGCTTAAGCCCCCCCTGTTGACAAGTGCAATGTGCCTCCCCAGCTTCCTTCTCAGAACCAGCTTTTTTTAAAGAGTGCAAGTTTAACACACGTAGTGGATATGAAAAGCATGGTGGGGGTCATTTACTATCCCCTTCTCCCAACACTCAGCTCACCCCCCACCTCACCCCTCTCTACAAAGCAGTTTGGGAGGGGCGGAGCACAGGAAGCAGCATGTTAGATTATCTGTCTAGATTACCTAATTGAAACTCAGGCCTGGGGGCCCAAACCAAAGGTGCTGGCTCAGGAAGAAAGGAGCCAAGGGCTGGGAGGAAGGAGAGATGGAACTACCACAGCCCCTTCCTCAGCACATACCATGTGCCCTGAGCACATCTCTTTATTTTCTGGTTGCATTCCACGGGATGTCTCTACATTAGACAGCCGGGATGGCGTCATGGATCCAGCGTGGGATTAGAACTCGGGAGACTTGGGTACAAGACCCCGCTTGGCTACAAGCGCCCTGGTGACTTTGGGCGATTCATTGACTCTTAGCCTAACGCACTGCATTGGGTGGGCTCAACCGGAGGAATGACAAGGAAGCTAATAAGATCCAACAAGTAATACCGTGTACCTTCCCTGTGTCTAAAAGCAACAGAAAAGCTGCTTTGAGATATTTTTTTTTTTTGCTTTCACTTCTGTTTGGAGTCTTGCCAAGGCCTACAACATGCAGCTTCTGAGGGAGACATCAGAGATAGCTGCCTTGCATAGATAAGAGCTGTAAGCGTTGGCTTTACTGAAACAGCTTTGCCTCTCCTGCAGACTCCCAGAAAGGGATGCTACGGCCCATGTCTCATGACAGCCTCTGAAACAAGGGGAGAAGAAACTTTACAAAAGGTACTGCAAAAAGCATTTGTTCTTGGCTTGAGGAGATGCATTGATGAGTCACCTGCTCAAGCAACCTTGGAGGCCCATGTAGCATCCTCAGGCCTAGTCAGGAAACCAGAGAGGAAAGGCATGTGTTTTCTTTACTTGCTTACATTCTGCAGCCCTATTTCTCCATTTGATTCAGTAAACAGTATGGGATCTTTAACAGAGGTGCTTTCATTTCTTCCTAAGTATCCTGGAATCTGAAGTGAGGTGCTTAGGCTGAACAAGTCCCCTGGCTACCTCGCCAGGTTGTTGTGAGGCTAAAACGGAGAGGATTACATAAGCTGCACTGGGTTCCTTGCAGGAAAAATATAATGCACATGAGTAACTGCATAATTGATACAGCCTGATAGCCTTTTTCAAAATGAGGTTAAACCAGAAAAAGGAAAGGTAATTTAACACAATTGTTTTTCAATGCACCAGCAACAGAAGGATCTAAGCAGCACCAGCATTTTTTTAAAAAAGCTAGGAAGCCTTCACTTGCAGACAAAAAGACCACCATGTGAATGCCCAGTCATTTTCTCCTGGGAGGGTTTTGACCACTGCAGTACCACCACTGATTTTTTTTTAATTTAATTTAATTTTTGTATTTTTTTTTTTACTTAAAGGGCAACCTAAAAATCATCTCTTCGAAGGACCAGAAAAGGTTTCCACGCAGCATCTTACCTGGACCTTGGGCAGGATAGACACCACGGACACAATCACACAGAAGATGAGGTTAACGCTGATGAAAGCCTTGTTCTCTGTACAGCTATCTGGCTTGGTATAATACACGTACAGAAGCACCACAGCAGCGATGGAGACCACATAGAAGAGGAAGGTGAAGATGAAGAGGGCTGGGAAAGATGGAGTACACAAAAAGCATCAATGCGCAGCTTGGCAACGAGACTCGTCTCCAAGCCAGCCCTCGTCGAGCTCTTCTGTGACAGATTAACCCAGGCTGCTGACTGCACAGAGGGAATGAGGGGGGGAGCAGGGGCCATTCCACCAGCCCTGCTGCACGACATGCGGTGCAATCCTGTGCATGCTCGGGCAGTAAACTCCTAGCAACCCTTGGCCTGCTTGTGTTTCTAAACAGGGGAATCAACTGCTGCTCCTTCCCACTGTATCCGATTTGCTCCTGGGATACTTTGACAGCCTTCGAAGCAGTTCCATTTTCAGCCTGCTCTCACCGAGCACCTCTGTTTCAAGGGTGCACAGCAGTGCAAGCCATCCAGGAGTAAGCCACCGTTCCGGAGTCACGTGCCACGAGAAGCAGTGGTTTCAGCAAGTCAGACTTCATAAGCCAGTGACAAACTATAGCTTCCTCTTGGGGTTTGGAGCTGGTTAAAAAATCATGACTGGCTTTCAGGAATGGGTTCAGATACAAGACGTAGCCAGATTTCAGTGAGCCATGCCTTTGTTTAGTGTTACAGGTGAACCAGGCATTTATACATGGATGTTGTCATGTTTTCATTCTGTTATCCCCAAGGTCAAAATCTCTTCAAACTGTTGCACTGAGGCTGTGATATTATGCTTCCTGAGAGAGCACCACAAGAGACAAAATATTTGGTGGATCCTCTTCTTCGCCCATGGAGCAGAAGCTCCTCAAGGTAAAGAGGAGATGCACATTCATAAAACTCTTTGTTCCCCCACTAAAGGGCAAAAGGGGGAATGGAACTGGGGTGGAAATTTCCCATTTTGTTGGAAATCAAGTTCCGGACCAAGAAGGGGGTAGGCAGGAGGAGAGAAAGATCTGCTCAAAAAAGACATTTAAATTTTTAAAAAATGAACACAAGCTGCCCAAGTAAGGCTTTGGTGGTTTCTCCCCCTTGGATCCTTCTTCCCCCAAACTCATTGGCGTACTTTGTACCCCAATCCCAAAAAATAAACCACCCCCCCATATGAGAGATTGGCTCAGATCTGCTGGGATTGCTTTCCATAGTGCAAATATGGTTAGTTGCATCATTTATATCTGGCACATTCAATGTAGATGGATATTCTCAGAGTGGCTCACAAAGATAGGAAAAGAAAGAAAAAGAAAAGAGGAGACATACAAATTAACTATAATTGTAACAGGCAATTCAAGTAGTGTACAATTTCAAATGGTAACTTTAACAGTATTTAAAAACCCAGGGAGAAACAGGAGGTACATTTTTGTCTGGCACCTAAATAAAAGTCAGAAGGGCATCAGAGATGGACTCACAGCATCCATTTCGAACACAGGTGAGCTGGCACGCCATACATACCTGCGTACCAGGATTTGCTGTTGCCTTCATCTGCGTTGCGCAGCCAAATCTGGCTCCAGGAGTGGGCAAAGTCAATCAACAGGATGAGCTGGATGAGGATGAAGAAGAAGGAGCCCAGCACGCCAAAGTAGAACCAGACTTCATGGGGAGAAAAGAGGAAAGGGGAAGGTTATTTCCAAGGACTTTGCATCTGCAGGTTCAACCAATCATGCGAAGTTTTAAATCATCAGCAAGGCAAGGATGATTTCCATGCAGGACTTCTTCCAAGGTAGAGGACTGTATAAATCCAGCCTTTGCCACACTGGTACCCATCTGACTTTTTGCAACTTTTAACTCCCATTAGCACCCACCACCAGAGTTAGGAATGGAGGCCGTTGCAATCAAAAACATCAGAGGGTACCAGGATTAAGAAAGCTGGATTAAAAGAGAGAGAGAGAGAGAGCAGCAATTATAAACAAGCAAGGGTCTAAAGCTAGTGCAATATCAGGACTATAAAAGACTGAGCTATGCAACAGGAAGACCCCCGGCTGCAATCTTACCACTGCCGTGACCTCACTAGGTGACCTTAGGCAAGCCGCTCATGCTCAGCCTCAACCCCCCTGCCCCCATCGGCAGTACGGGGAAATCACACTGATACTTGCCTTGGAAGGTTTGGAAGGGTTCCAGTTAGAGAATGCCCAGGATGCAGTTTGAATGCTCAGAAGTGCTGTGACACTATTGTGCCTTCTTTCTGCAGTCCACAACACTGTGCCCTCCAGAGTCTTTGGACTACAGCACCCATCATTCCCCATCATTGCCTCCCCCGGCCAAAGCAGAAGGAAGCTGCAGTGCCAACACATCCGGATGGTGCCACACCAGGGCAGCCTGTCTAAACCAACTGAGCTCCAAGGGGGAGCTCAGACCCACTGAGAAGAGCTGGGAAGAGGGCCTGGGCAGCCCCACCATTCGGCCAGGTGAGGCAGCTGCAAGCAGAGCAGCAGCAATGAGCTAGGAAAGAGGAGCTTTGCCTGGCGTGGGGCCGGTCTGGTGCCCCCTACACCAACCAGGGCCACCAGGCGCAGCGGTGGATGTCTGCCCATTGCCAGAGTTGGGAACGAGTCTCCTGCTGAGCTGCGTGAGTTTTGTACACACAGAGTTGCCCTTCACCTGAGGCGGCAAAACATCTTGGGCTGCCTTGAATACCTTCCCAGTAGCCACACCTACAAACAGCAGCGTAATCATCATGATCAGTGCCTGTTCTTCCAAATTTGCGAGGCCCCATTATCACGGCTACGAGGGATGCTGAGAAATCCAAGCTGTTTATCAACAAACCCAGCTTTCATTTCTTCCAGGAACAGTTTTTTTTTTGTTTGTTTTTTTTTAAGAATGGGTCTTACTTGCCCATTCAAGGTCCAGGCTCCCCAAAACACTTGGCATTCCAACAGGGAATAATCTATGATTACCGGGAAAACTCATTACCCCCACTCTCCACCAGGACGGCAGCCAAATTCAGAGGGAAGAGCAAATTCTAAGTGGGTTGGCAAGTGGAATTGCATCCCTGCAGATCCTGTTACCACTGCCTATAGAAATGAAGGCCAGACCAACACAGGGAGACGCTTTCAAATGAGCCAAAGGCATTTCTGTCCCCCAAAACCCCACCTCTTGAATTATTCACTTAGCGCCAGTTCAGTGCCAGTATTGCACAGCCTGTGATTAAGCCTGACAGTCTCTGACCGCAAAACCCTGACAGAACAGCATCCAACATCAGCCATTTGACAACGTTTAGCAAATGCTGACTTCTGTTCCTGTTTCACTCAACCATTTCTGGAGTCAGGCGAAATTGCCACTGCTCCCAGCTCTGCGCATAAAGCAAACACCAGGGGACTCGATGCTGAAGTCTTTTTTAGAATGCGAAATTTTACAGCTTCCCATTCACCAAACAGCCTTTCATATCTGCTACAGCTCTGAAAAGCCAGCTGTTGTTGCTGGCCTTGCCACAGTGCATTGCTGGGAAGCTGGGGGGCTTTCACAAGTGTTGGTCTACCAATCCCAGTGTCTCAGCAAGTGCTGTGCTGACCGGGGCTGATGAGGGTTTAGGTCAAACTGAGTGCCTGGAGTGAAGGGACACATCATGAAAAGAGGCAAGGTCTGCTTCTTGTATGGGGAATTTCTGTTTCTATGCATTTATTTAAATAGGTGCTTAACTGTATTCTAGTCACACTTGTTTTATCTTGATATTGCCCTGGGAGGGTCCTAGTCATAAGGCATCCTAAAAGTAATTTTAATTCCATAAAAATAAACAATATGGGTGTGTACTGGAGGCATCCTTAGGCAATTGCCAAGCCTCCAACACCTGATCTTGTCTACCCTGGACCCTCCTTAAAAGAGAGAAAAGGAACAATAAGGCCCCTAAAAGCTCAAGAACAGCTGCCCCGGGCAACAGCACCGATGTAAAGGGGGCCACATCTGCAGCAGGAAGGGGCCCGACACCAAGGATCTCTCAGCTCTTCAACCCCACAGCCAGCCCAGGGAACAAAACTGCCAGGAACAGGTTTTTCGGGAGACACTGCTGAACAAGCTCTCAGCCCTCCAACCTTCCAGCAGAGCAGGCTGCATCCGCCATGCCCACAATCACATGCAGAAGACACTTTCAGCCCCAGGTCAGGGAGCTGAGCCTTGCTTGCCTCTGCTGTGAACTTGCCAGGCAGCCTCAAGCTGGACACACATGCTCAGCGCCTCCATCCTGTAACCACAAAATGGCGAGAGCGCAGGTGTGCAGGGCCGTCTCAACGCACGGGCCTGATGGGCGCTTGCCCGTGGGCCCCATACTAATCCGTGCACGTTAACCCTTGGAAAATTGGAAAACTTCCAAAATTAACAGTAGTTGCAGTTCTTGTAGGGGCCCATAATGCTGTTAAGACGGCCCTGCTGCTGTGGGCAAGTGGTTGGAGTGCTGGACTGGGGATCCGAGAGATCCAGGTACTAGTCCCTGCTGGGCTATGGAGTTTACTGGGTGATGCTGGTCAGTCACTGACTCTCAGCCTAACCCACCTCACAGGGTTGTTGTGAGGCTTAAATTGAGTGGAGTAGGATTATGTAAGCCTCCATGGATAAAAAGGCAGCATAGAAATATAACAAATATAATAACTAAATATAGGAGGGATAGTGATGCCAGATCAAACGGACTGAATGATAGCAAAGCAGGGGTGGGAAACTTGTGGCTCTCCAAATGTCTCTCAACTACAGCTCACATCATCTCTGGCCATTGGCACAGCCTGATGAGAGTTAAAATCCAACAATGCTTGGGAGGGCTGCAGCCTCCCCTCCTCCGTTTGATGGACTGCAGCAAAGTCACGGCTGCCAAGTGCTCATGCATCGTCCTGGAAGTGCGATCTAAGCGCCAAATCTTAATATCTTCATCCACCTAAAAGATGCACAAGTCAAACTGCAGGGAAAACTAGGACAGCCAAACACGAGACAAGTAGGTTCCCGGGAGAAACCATCACTGAGCGCAGCACCTCAGCAGAACTGGCTCCTGCACCTACTGACCTGCAGACCGAACTTACGTGGATGCCCATGAGGCCTATGGAGCTGGGAAAGAGTTCGTTTAATCATGAAGGTTTTGGCATCAGAAACTAAGCTCTCAGACTAGTTTCAGAGCAGATGGGTTGGACTGCAACGGCAACCATTCCCTGCCAGCATGGCCTCGGTCCCCAGGCTGACTCAGGACATTTGCTACTGCTGCTTGCTACTCGGAAGGAAATGGTGACTGCGCAAATCTTGCATTCACTCCGTCTGCAATTAGGAATCCAACAAAGAACTCCTTCCCAAGGCCATCCAGTGTCATTTTTCTACACTTCTAGCCCTGATGGGGGAGGGGAGTCTGCAAGACTGGCAGCCAACTGCCCCCCTCCTCACTGGGCCCCCACTGAATTGCACAAAGCCTCAAGGAGAGAGAGGTCTAATTGCTGGCCCTGGATTTGACAGTCTCCCAGGCGAGCTGGCACAGACCAGGAACTCTCCCAACACCTCTACCTGAACACACATCCTCCTGGCAAAGGGCGCTGGTTTGGAGGAAGCGCTGCATCCTGACTGGGCTTGCTCCCCAATCCCAAACCATCAAGTTCACCCCTGAGCACAGGGCAGTAGGAGAGGCGTGCAGAAGCCCAGAGGCAGAATCAGAGCTCCAGCAGGAAGGCAACTGAGCCCGATCCTTCACACGGGTGGGTCCAACCTGTGCTGAAGCAAGACTGCACCCTTCCTGTCCTGCACTGCAGGACAGCTGCCCTTCTCCTCGCAGTCCCCTCATCTCTGGCTCAGCAGAAAGCTGCTGGCAAGTCCAGCTGTTTAGCTGGTGGGCACGGGGCACAAGCAGGACAAAGCCAGAGGCTGAAAACTTGGAAGAGAGGCTCTTTGCGAGGCCTGTTCCTTGCCCATGTGGTGTAATGGTTGGAGCCCTGGGCTGAGGCTCAGGAGAGCTGGGTCCTCTCTCCCCCCACCCCCACCGCTCAATGGGCAGTTCGGGGCAGTCACAGACTCTCTGTCTAACCTCTCTCAAGGACTGTGGTAAGGATAAAATGGAGAGGAAGAGGGTCGCATACATGGCCTTGGGCTCCTTGGAGGAAAAAGAAAGGGGAAGAGAGAAATGGCATCGTGAATAAAATAGATGCAACTCATCCTGGGCACCAGCAACCTCAAGCGGCTGCCCAGGAGAGCCCACTGTGGACACGGCCCTCCAGGCCCTAAAGGGGGCAGCTGCATCTGTGAGCCACCTGCTACTTCAGCTAACCACCAAGTCCCCAATTAGCATCTCTGTGGCATTGAGGGAAATGAAAATGGCAGGTGACTCGCACAGACCCACTGCAAATCACGCCACTCCTACTAGCCACTGGGGGGGATCACTAAAATAGGATGGGAGGACACTTAGCCCCACTCAAGCCAAGAAACCTGTTGACCACCCTCTTGACTTCTCTGTGGCTTCAGAAAACTTGAAGGAGTAGGGAGCAGAAAACATTCGGCCTCACTTTTAAGCAAGGCAGCTGATCCACACATGAGTATGCACACAGACCAAGCTTGACAGGTCAGCCCCAGTGTACAAAACAAACAGAAATGCGAGGTCTGGCCTACCGGAAGTGAATGAGCCATCTGGAATATAGAAGGCCCCCACCGTTATTCCAACCAGTATCAGGAACTTGAAAAACCAAAACCTGGAGTAGACAAGAGGAGAAAGAACACACGTTAGACTTGCAGAGAAGAATCCTAGGACAGCCCTTGCAAGCAGGTGCTCAGCTTGCTCCAGCAGCAAGCCAGGATGGAAACAGCTCGGAAGCAAAGCCATCCTGGATCAAAACTGCCATCCCCATCAGAAGAGGAGTTACTGTTGAAAAAGAAATCTTGAACATCGGGGGGCATACAATCCATCCAGTCACCCTCCCTCTTTCCTATCTGTCAAGACATCCACTGAAAGAACAGAAAGTGCTGTTATATGCAGCAGAAGCTGGGACTTCTCCCAGCAGGCTTAAGAACTATTGCACTCCTTCAATAAGAGCCTTGCTCTCTTTCCCTACTGTACTTTTTTTAAGGATGGGGTCTGGGAGGTGGGGAGCACTTCCTGCTTTATTTATGAGAGCAATTTATTCATAGCTGTCCTCTAAATGGGACCAAGACATGAAGGCACTTAACTCTGGTTTGCACTTAGTTGTAACTTTGGCCTGTGGGCTTCCCACCCGAAGTCTAACATCAGGATATTACTCTGCAAAGTATGTGACACAGGAAAGAGGAACTTCTTTAGGGGAGGACACTGAGGCTCCGAAAATTTGCAGAAGGTAATAAACCAGTGATGGGGAAATAAGGATTGACTGGTGGATCACAGAATAAGTTGTATGAATTCACAAAGGGGATTCCAACTTTGCATTGTCTGACAGCAATAGAGACGTTTTCTGTTGGGAATGCAGAGAAGACCAAAGAGCAGATTTGAATGACATGAGAGGGCAGTTCTAGCACTGAAAACAAACTCATGTGCTCAGAGGCACCCTTGTTCATTTTAAGACTGTAGCCCTCTCTGCCTTCCCAAGTCACTATTCTACATTAAACACTGTTCGCTGCATTGCAGGGTTCTGATGAGAAATAAAGTTGAACCCACAAGCCTGAAGTCAGCCTGGCCTTGTGATAAATATTCAGGACTGGGCCAGGTCAATGGCTGGAAAGGGAACCATCCATGAAGCCAAATCTGTGCTACTCTGAACAGCAGTGAATCAAGTCAGACTAAAAAATAAATACCGGTTTGACAGCTATAGAGAACAGCTAGACCAAATTATTCTCCCCTCCCATGATCCCTTAAAAAATGAAACTGGCAAAGCACAATTGAAATGAGCCTGATTCTATTGTGTGAGTAAGGTCAGCCTCACAATGAAAAGCCTGCATTGTTTTGTTAGATCGGTATCCTACTCTTTACCTCAATTGCAAAGGTGATTTGCAATGTACCCAAGATCACACTGCTCCATTAAACACTTTAAACACACCAAAAGCATGAAAGAAATTGCTTCATGATGAAAGATATTGTACAGAGAAGGGAATAAGTTGATCTACAAAAGGTTATGATACTGAACTATCACACTCATGTGACTTTACATAAATATGACAAGAACAGCACCGCAGCCCGAATCCAAATGATTCCCCGGTTGCATTGGCCATTTCATGTGTTCATTGCAGCACAATCCTGTACACACGTGCCCAGAATTAAGTCCCACGGAATTCAGTCAGACAGGCTCCCAGATAACTGTGGGAAGGACCTGCGCAAGAGGGGAGACACAAGTCTAAATAGCTGAGAAAAGGGAAGGGCATTTGCAACCTCACCCGTTCTGTATTGCGGCACGAGGGTCTTTACTGCTTCTTACACAGATCATCATCAAGGCAAACAAGAAGTAGAAGACAGCCAGTGCAAAACACATCCGGTAGACTGATTTGTGACCCAGGAAGGACTTGCAGTTGACTTTGCCTTGGGCACCTAGGAAAGTACCACCTCCTTCGCAGAACCCAGGAAGCTACGGAAGAAAAGCAGCAGGGATGAGTGGCCTTAATCTGGAGAGGGCAACTTGTGGCCTCCGAATGTTATGGCCTACAGCTCCTATGACCCCCATCATTGCCTATGCTGGGTAGGAGTGATGGGAATTGCGTCCCCCTGAGGTGTTTCGACCTATGCGTTGCCCAACCCGGTCTTTCTTACAAAGATAAGAAACACGTTTGCCCTGCCAGGAAGCAAGGGACCTAACAGATGCCTGCAGGCCACCCAGAGACAGTGAAGAGGCAGTGAAGAATGTGCAGTATCGACATCTTGTGCTCTTTCGCCTAGGCCTGCCACAAGGCTCAACAAGAGCTCTACTGTGCAACAGAAGGGATGGGAAGGCTGATGGGGTAGGGAGATATCTCACGGCTATGCAGTACTGTTTGGAGCTTTAAAAGGCATACGGTTGCCAAATCTCCCTAACTGGCCCAATAACTTGTTTAAACAGGAGCTTTTTCCTCCTGGCAGAGCCAAGAGGGTAGCGAGGTGGGGCAAGAAAGATTTAAGGACACGCTGCGAGTCTCCAGCAGCCACTTCATCCCAGGGAGCCTGGTGATGCCGCTACTGGAAAGTCAGCGCTTGGGGGAAGCAGAGAGCCATGCCGTGCAGGGCTTACCTTGTGGAGCTCAGCCTCAACTCCAGGAATGATCATGATGATGGACACCAGCGTCCCCAGAAAGAGGAACAAGGTGAAGCTGAGGCGTGTGATGGTAGAGTTCTTTGTAGAGGGGCAGCAACCACACAAGAGGCAAGGGGCTGAGCCACAAAGACATGATACCTGGCAATGAATGGATGAATGGATGAATGAATGAGTGGCAAAAAGCCATCAGAAGAGAGGGTGCAGATCATCACGCCCATCCTATCCCGTCTGGTTTCCCAAAATGGCCATGTCATTCCCCCAACAACCACCCATGATCTGCTGGGTTGCTGCCTTTTCCACAGGATCATACGCACACCATCTTCACTAAGGTTTAGTTACCGGCAGCAAGATCTTAACCTAAATTATGCTTGTGTTTTTCCTCCACCGTGCTTTTGCCTTTGGTTCAGCCCCTCAGTGGAATGCAGGATTCCGAGAGCTCCTCTGAATGAGTGTCGGCCCATGAGCTGGAAGAGGTTGAACACCCCTGTTAAAGTGCAGAGAGACTAGAAGGGGGAGCCCAGCCATTGCTGACAGAGGTTTCTTTCCTGTCCTGCCAACGCCCAGAAGAACACATGGCTTTCTCTCTTCTCTCCCCGCTTTTACATATCCAGAGCAACAGTATGATCTGAGAGCATAAAAAACTGTGGAACCCACCTCCTGAGGCTTAGGACTACAGCTCCTATCATTCTACCAAAACGGCCAGTGGTCAGGATGATGGAAGTTCTAGCCCAGAATATCTAGAGGTCACCAAGTTGGGGAAAACTGGTCTCAATAGCAAACCATTTGTGCCAGGTCCCGTCCACACGCTTTTTGTGAAGTTCCATGTGATTGGATGCTGCCAATTTAATAACACCATTCTAGTCATGGTTACTTGCATGGTAGAGTATTAGGCTGCAGTTTATAACAGGGTAAGCAGCTTTATGCTCTCCATGACTACAATACCCATCATCCCTAGCCAGCAATGGTCAGGAATCATGGTTGGTGTTGTCCAGATCATCTGGGGGCTACCCAGTGGCTTCCCCTGCTTAAAAACACTCGGACATCTCCTCCCAAGTGAACCTCCTTCCCCATCCAGGCATTCTGCATACTAACAGTTGCTTTCCCCGTGCGGAGCCTTATATAGCCCAGAGTGATACAACACGTGCACACAAGGTATTCGTTGGCTTCAAGAAGAGGGGGCAGTGGTTATGCTGACTCTCGTAGGTGTTGGAGGACAAGCTCCACCACACAGGCATCACCACCAGCAGAGACTGATGGACAGACTCTGGTGGACTTTCCAGGGAAGCCACAACTGCCTTGCTGGCATGCTGCTTGGGGATTTTCTGTTTCTGAGTTCCCAGGTCCAGCAGTCGTTGGATACAGTAGCCTTTCCACCAGCAAAGCAGAGAGAATCTAGGACTGCTTTGGAATATGGTTAAATAGTAACTCCAGAAAGATAAGCCACACAAAATGTCGGTAGCTGAACTGGGCTTCGCAACCAAGGCAAAGTTGTTACAATCCTCAGGAGGTTGTTTCTCCTTAAAAATCTATAGCCCCTTTTCACTTTCGCAAGCATTTTGAAAGATACGATCAAAACACATGCAATGAAAGTGGCCAAATAAGGACATAAGGAGGAGGGTGTAGAAACTATCAAGCGCAAACAGACTGGTCTGGTCTGTGTATGATAAGTGAGGGGAAAGGTCGCAGCTTATGCAAAGGGCTTTTGCCATGATTCCCAAAAGTTATTTTTAACATCAAATTTCTCTTCATGCAACACCCGTGAACATTACTGATTCCCAGCAGAGAAGTCAGACCAGCACTTTTAAATACTTTCAGAGTGCGGAGTGCTTGTCGAGACAGAAAGACGTCCTATAATGCCAGCATGGGAATTGGGGGACCCTCTTTCTGTCTAGACATGCATGAAATTGCACTGGTAACCATGCAAAGCATTTCACAGGTCCGGCTTCTGTACGGTTTTACAAGGCTGTACTCAATCAAGTCGCCAAACGCATGCTGGCACGGTTGAATCCTCTGCCACCATTATTGTGAACTCTTCCCCCAGGGCAAATGTCTGAAAGGCAAATACACTTTCTGCCTAGCCCTCTCCCTGGTATGTTCCTCACGCCTCAGCCACTCACCCCACTACCGAAACATTCATTCTTCAGAGTTGCCCTGAAATTTGCAGATCCCAGGTTCCAACTTGAAGCGGTCGAATTCAGGTAAGGCCTTCCGCTCCACCCGGCTGCGCACACAAATGCAACCCCATCCTCTGTGGGCTGGGAATAGCTGGACCCATTGAATTCGGCCAGCACAGACCGGTGAGAATTTCGTTTGGCATGAGATAATGAGTTGCCAAAATTTGCAGAGTCCCTCGTACACTCTCCTCCTTACTATTCTTTGCCTACGTGAAAGCAATGACCAGGGGAGGACTGCTCCTGTATTTCCGTGTGTATTACAGGAAAACCTGGCCATTTAAAAGAGGAATGAATATACTCTCCATGGAGCTCGATGCTCACTGTGCATTTTCCCATTTAACGCTGGGCATCCTTGAGGGCTATTACAGATATGCTATTATTACAGGAACAACCCTTAGAAAGCCTTGTGTTCATACACAGCAATTTCAACTCACAATGCTTTCCAGATCCAAACACATACGGCTCATCTATCATGGTTTGCTGCAGCAAGCCAGTTTCATCCCCACATCTGGAGAAGCCTAACCAAAGTTAAGTTTAACCACAGCATGCTAAATTATACTTCAGCTAAAACAAAAGCAGAAGCTTCTGATCTCCTAGGAGCCATGCTGGAGAAAAGAATGCATGAGTATATGAGAATTTGCCTATACAGACTGACAATTTTTATGTAAACCATCTTGAGATTTTACAATAATTAACGGTATAAGAGATTTTAAATCAATGAATCCAATCCTAATCCTGGTTTTAGGATACCAAAGACTCCCAAACTTAAACACACTGCGTATTTGATAAGTCTGTTTTTTCATCTTTTCTTCTGCAGTTTGTGTCATATACTTTATCATTGCAATTGTCAAAATGCTATGCTGAGAGGTTTATTAAGGATTAAGTTTCTATTTCTATCATTTGCCACCAGAGGATCCTTGAGGATGACACACTCATATATGCATACACAGACATAAGAACTAAGGTTATTGAAGAAATCTGCAACAGATTCAAGTAAGTTTAGCTTTCTCTAAATCAGACCTGCAGTGCAGTGAACAAGCTTCACCTTATTCTACAGACTAGTGAACTTGTGGGGTAGAAGTTGCACTGATTGTTACTTGGGCTAATGTGCATTTGCACAAATGTGCTAATCCACAAGTGGAATAAGAATCTGCTTTTAAAAAATGACTCCCCTTGAGGAGACAACAGGACAAACGATACTTGACCATCTACAAAACATGAACAGAACAAAGTCAACAAAATCCATACATCCCTAATGAGAAGTTATGAAAAAATAGTGTTCACAAGCTTATGTTTGGCAATAAGCTTTGCTTAGCTCTTGAAAGCTTTCTTCCAGTTTTGACAATGTCCCAACATCAAGTTACTCCATCTGGAAATGTCCCTTCCCTTCCCTGGACCATTCTAGGGTTTCTCATCTATAACAAATGACTCATGTAGTTGCACTAGTCTCTCTCTCTTCTGTTAGTTCCTTCCATAAAAACTTACATGAATGTTACAATGCAGAAATCAATGTGACTCAATCTGAAAAATGTACAATGGTCACACCCTCATTTTTTCAACCTCTTTCTGTGTCACAACACAGTTGCTCATTACAGAAACTTTACAAACTTTACTGTCACTTTTTCTACAACTTTGAGACCTGAGGCAGCACCTAGGAGGGTAAAGGACCCTTTACATTTCCAGGTCTGAGGCCGGAAACAGAGCTTGTACCTTAGAGCTCAACCAAACCCTGGCAGTCCATGTGGCAAAAAACAGTGGGAGCTGTCTCTTTGCGGTCAGTAGCACAACCTCGGAGAAGAGGTACAGGAATTGTTCCAGGGACAGGAAAGGAAGAGGACACCGAGGCCAAAAGAGGTCATATTCTACAGCTTCTTTCCCTCCCGCTCTCAAGTGCTCCAGCCTGAAATCAGTTATCCAGTGCAAATGCAGAGTAACAGGGAATCTTCTCTATGCTTAAATACTTCGCAAACTTTCATAAAACCTGAATGTAGAAACCTCATGTGCACCGAGATCACAACCCACTGGAGCACACCCTAAGGCTGTGATACTTACACAGGAGAAAATTCTACAGAACCCAGAAGAACTTACTTTTGGGTAGATACCCAGGGTCGGACTTCACAATTGCAGTCCTATGTATCAGCCTTCCCAGAATGCATCTTCCATATGTTTCTACATTTAGGCTTTATAAAAGTTTGCCACATATTTAAGTTGACCTACAAACATGCTTCAATAGGAGTGGTCAACAGGTCAACTTGTATTTTAATATGTGTGGAAGCAATTCCACAAGAACCAGTACATACTACTCCTCCTGGTAGTGCTATCATTCTTACTACTAACACCACCAAGATTCTCCTGTCAGAGTTCATGGGGCCTTACAGAGTTAATAAGCAACAAACAGACCTCTGCTCCCAAAATCTAGAATCAACAGGTGACAGCTCACCTCTTTATAACTTTGTGTATATCCAAGAATGCCTACATTTCAGAGTTTCAAGCTGCAACTCTCACTGGTACTGATAACATCTTTCTGTACATTTTGGATCTTAATAAGCTCTGCTTCCCAGCAACAGATGGGGGGATCTATTTGTTATGACTTTGGAACATTTCTCTCTCCATTACATTATTCCAAAATATAAATACACAGCTCTAATCAGAACTCAGTTCACTAACTTCAACATATATAACCAGACATACACAGTATTATTAGATTAAAAAAGAAAAAGGCAGGATATTAAAGAACTCAAAGGTGGCTTACAACATTCTCTCCCCCTGCTCTCAATCTTATCCCCACAACAACCCTGAGAGGCAGGTTGGGCTGAGACTGTGATTGGCCCAAAGTCACCTGGTTTGTTCCATGGCTGAGCAGCGACTAGAACCCAGATTGCTTGAGTCCCAGTACCACAGTCTTCACTGCTACACCACACTGGTGTTATATCACACATCTTTCTCCAACCCATCTTTGCTTTCTAGCACTTTGGTATCACAAAACAAGGAGCAGCGTATGCACTAGAAATACTGGATTACAGAAATGCTGAAAGGCTCTTGTTAGACTGAAGGGGCACCCCCAGTTTTGCAAAGGATTTAATGAGCAAAACAGAAAGCATCCATCTCCCAGGTGTACATTTAAATTCCATGGGACTTCAACTATTTTATTACAGATGCCATCCCCTCCCCACAAAGGGGGGATATTTTTAACAGCTGCATGAAAGTGCGGAATTTTTGAGGGTGGTAGCAGATACTACTCACACAGAAGTAGAAAAAGCATGTTCCTTTACTAAACATCCTTCTGCACCAGGAGTAGGGAGAGTCTGTGGTCCTCTGGTTATTATTGTACCACAAGGCCCATCATCCCTAACCATTGGCCATACTAGCTGGGGCTGAGGGAAGCTGGGCCCAAGAGCACACAGGGGACCATAGCGACTGGTCCCCACAGGATCTCCACTTACTACACTGGGACCTTGTGCTGGGTCACAGGCTGATTTAAGGTAGGTTGCCAGCAGGGCACGACCCCCATGCAAACATCAGGAAGAAGTGCGGAAATGCACTTCTGCTGGGGAAATGCAAGGCTGTGTTGTACTAAAGGGTCTGCAAGTGCTCCAACTGTTCATAACCAGGATAGCCTCGGGTTGGAAACCGTTGAAGACGATTGTAAAATCCTGGCCACGAAAGAGGAACCTTCTGCAGACACCTGTTTGCCCAAGCAGCCCGAGTGGTTTTAAAGGGGCCGCAGCGGGAGTGCAAGTCCCCCACCCCGCAGGTGGAGCCACCAGTGGCTCGTGGCCCCCAGTCCATCTCGCTGGCTCCCACTGGGGAGCAGGGGCCCGCGGACGACCCCCGAGGAAGACCAGCGCAGCTCTTCTCCCTCCCCCCAGGCAGCCACGGCCTTGAACGTGGAAGAGCCGAGCAGGGCTGCCATGGACGGGCCTTCCGGAGGACTTTCACTCCGAGGGTCTCCACAAGCCTGGAAGCGACGGGGCGGCCCCCAGCAGCCACCTCCGAGCCAACAAGGAAGCAAGCCAGTCGGCGACTTCAGCGGGGCGCGGTCCCTTTCCCAAAATAGCACGCACGCACACTGCCACTCGGGGTGCGGGCACGCAGGTTCGACCTGCTCGGATCGCCCGTCGGGCACAGAGCGATTACAGGACAGGACCTTCTTTGGAACCTGGCCACGGAAGTACTTAACCCTGTCCGCGAATGGCGGGGGGGTGGGGGGGGGACAAAGGCAGCTTGAAAGTTTGAATCACTGACCACCGACCCCGGGCACGCTGCCGCCAAGGGAAGCCCCACGGGGCGCGGTGGAACTTACTTCCCGGGAAGCGTGTTGCGGGGCGGCCACCTCGACGCAGGCCCCCCGCCCCAAGCCTTTCTTCCCTCTTCCTCTCCCCGCACCCCGCGGCTCAGCCCAAGAAGCTCCTCGGCGCACCGCCGCAGCTCGTCAGAGCCAAACCCGGAGCGACGGAGCCCCCCTCGGAGGCCGCCCCCGCCCCGCGGGACCGGGACGAGCCCCGGCACCGCTCCCCTCGCCCACCCTCGCAAGCGCGGACCGCGGCAGGCGACCATAGAGCCACTCACACAGCTCAGCAGCGAGCAGACCCCCAGGCACGCTCCCATGACGCCGGGCACGGAGACCCCCGCCTCGCCTCGCCGGCTGCAGCTCCGTGCGGCGCGGTTCTCGGGAAGAGCGCAAACTTGGCTCAACTCGCGGCCCGCGCTACCTGCCGGAGCCGCTCGGGCGGCCTTTCAGCGCGTCGGCTCTTTCCGCCCACGCTCGGCCGCGGCCGCGCCCCCGCCCCGCAGGGGAGGGCCCGGCCGGCTGCAAGCAAGCGCACCTGGCGGCCGGGCGGAGGAATGGAGGCCCCGGCCTCGCGCGGAGGGGGCGCTCGATCGGGAGGGGCGGTCGCCCCCCAGCAGCGCGCGGCGGTGGCGCGCCTCTCGCCTGGCTTGCGGCCTCTCCGCGCCGAAGCAAAGGCTTTGCTCCGGGGCACGTGCCGCGCGGGATGCCGCTGCGCGAAATCCAGGAGTCCCGAGCCTGGGGCATCTGGAGAGCAGCAGCAGATGCGAACAATAGAAGCAAAACCCGCGTGTACCCCCGCGGAGTCGCGATAATTTCAGTGGTTGTAAAATGCAGCAACACACACACACGTTCCTGTTGTTGTTTTGATAAGCACTGTTTGGCAAACAAGTGTTTTGTTTATTGCTTGAACAATAAACCGGAGAGACTCAGTGGCTAATGGTGTGGGGTGGGGGTTGGCTCTGGGCCAGTCCCCACCCTCAGCCTTCCTCACCGGTTTGTTGCGAGAATAAAAGTAATGCACATGCCATGAGACCATCAAACTCAGCACCACTGTTCTCAGGAGGCAGTGCTGGGCCTGTCCAGAGACCTGTTCTCAGATGACCCCTGTTCTTTTCAGGGCTAGCCCCTGATGGAAAGAAATCTGAGCTTAGAATTGATTGATGTGCATGTGTTTGCAGCTGAGGAAAGTCGGAGCAACATTTCTACATCAACTTTCCCTAAAGTGGTGCCTTGCAGATGTCTTACATACATCTCCCAGGTAATAATCCCTTGACATATATGTGCACACGTGTACACACATGCATGGACACAAGCAATGCACAAACTTCCAGGCAAACTGGACACACTTTGTTACTTACCAGAAGCCTGGGATCTCTAACCAGAACCAGGTGCAGAATATTCACCTAGAATTCAAGAATTTTGAGCACGAGTTTGCTTTGAGGACCAGACCTGAATGGAGCTCATCTTCCCACCACAGAAGCATCTTTCCCTGGTTACCCAAAGTGTTCTTCATTTAGGCTGTTTCTGCTATTGTTAAATCACTGGGATTCTAAAATGCTTGCTGATCTGCTGCCAAAGACCTATCATTAAATCCAAGTCTCCCTTCTGTCTGCTGCTGACACCAACACTTTATCTGGGCATTGCATCCTCCCTCTGAAAGCAAATGCACACTGAGAAATGTACCGGGTATAGGAAAGTCACCATTTCATAAAGCAGCTTACAATATACTGTTGTTCACTAGATATCAGACTGAAAACAATCTCTAGTTCTTTTGCTCAACTAATAAAGATGGGCAGAGATGGAGGAACAGGCTGAGGGTAACATTCGGTTAGATGCATGCCTTTGGAATTGGGCTCCTTTTACACCCGGGTTATTTCCACCAGCCTCACAATCACATTAAAAAGACATTAGTGGATGCTGCTTTTTCATCCGCAGCAGAACATTGAAAAATGTGTTAAGGAAGATGGCTCATTGGATTGCCACAGATTGTTACACACCTGCTGGGAAAGAAGACATCTGCAGTGCTACTGAAAAGTAACAAGACCAAAAATGGCCAATTTTGGCTGATCTCACACACACACACACACACACACACACACACGTATAAGTATAAAATATACATATTCTACCAACTTCTCTGGGTGTTTGCAGATGATACCTTTATCCAACATGGAGATGTTTTGGATGCCAGGTTCAGTTTTCCCTCTGACTGGAGGCATCTGATGGCAGCATGTGCTTTTTAATGCATCAGTTGAATGATTTGCTTGTCATGGCTGTTTCAGGAGTTTTTCTATTTTTATTAATTTTATTGTGAATTAAAAAATAAAAACAAAAACCATGATAAGCAGGAGCAAAGAGGAAAATAATTTTCCTACATAAAATTTAAATAGATCCAATATATGTACCCATATATATTTATAAAAATAGACTGTTATCAATTTTAAAAAGCAGTATGTAATTGTCAACAAATGCAGAGCATATATCCATGTCTTTATCTATGAATAAAGACATATTTATCCATGGGAGACATCTAAATATCACGCATTCAAATGTTAAAAGTGTCATTAAATTCTCAATTTATTGTGTTATGGAATTTATCCTTCTAACAGCAGTATTTTGGTTGTCAAAAGGAAACAGAAAATTCATTTACACTGACTTTGTGTTAAGTTCCAAGAAACAGCTGGAGAGCTGAGAAGAACATGTACTCTGGTTTATGCGGTTGTGCTATCTTAATCAAAGTTGGTTTTAGCTATCCTAAATTTTGCATATTTGAATCCTGCCGTGAATCAACTTTCTTCTGGAGAAAGGTGCTGGGAAATAGGGGAGTTATAAGATTTTTTTCTGTTTAAAAGTGCATCAGACCGCACCCTAGGAAATTCAATAAATTATCACCATCACCTTGTAATAGCTCTGCCTTAAATGCAACATTTCATGGTGAGTATATATTCTTCCATTTGTAACATCTCATTATTTTCTACCACTTCTGTCTTTTTTTCTTAGTGGAAAAAAAGACCTTTGTTGAGGCATTATCAGAATAGTTGTACGACATCTTTGGGCTGATAGTGCCTGGGAAACATCAGTTCAAAGCACTGTTTCCTCCCACTGTATATGCAGGCCTGTTCTTCCATGCATCCGCCATGCATCAGTATGGCAAGTTGCACAAGCTATAGCTTCTCACCTGTCTTTAAGGACAACCCCGCATGGAGTGCATTGTAGTAATCTAAATTAGTGTAGTTACTAAAACCAGGCTATTTTATTTATCGAGTTTGTATGCTACCCCATAGGCAGAGGCCCTCTGGGCAGCTCACAGCACAAAAATACAGATAAAAATAAATAGCAGTAATTACTGAAACCATAGAACATAAAAGAATAAAAATACAATATAAATATAACCAAGTAAATGCTACCAAGAAATACAATGCAAGTAAATAACCAAGAAATACAATATAACCAATAAAACAAGAACCAAGAAACAATAAAACAATCAGCCAGCAGTAAACCAAGAGTCAAATCTAAAAGCAGATACTAAATAAAACAAGTCTTAACTTGGCACCAAAAGCAAGATGAAGAGGGTGCCAGTCGCGCCCTCTTAGAAGGGAATTCCAAAGGTGGGGTGTGAAGGCCCTTTTTTTGCAAGCTCCCTCCCCTCCCCTCATTTAAGGGGGCTGTGAAGGAGGGCCTCCATGGATGACCTGAGTGGTCTAAAAAGGAGCCCAAGTGGAGGAAAAGCAAGTCTTGCACAGAGAACACAAGCAGAGCTCAGCCAGAGCAAAGCAGAAGCCTAGTTCAATATTCTGTCCCCAGAGAGGTGACCAGAAGCCCTGAAGAAGGACATGAACACAAGAGCACACCTGCTGTAGCCGCTGCATGGAGCCTGCAGTAGTGAAGGTAATGTGTAGCCATCGCGACTATCATTACCCTGTTGCAACCCTTCCTCGGAGATGGTGGACCCCCAGTCCCCCCAGGAGCTGGGCCAGGAGGTGAGGAAAGGATGCAGTCTCACTCTGGGGACTGAGAACACTTGGCCCAACCTGGGTCCTTGCAGATGCTGTTATACTACAACTCCCACCAGCCCCTTCCTGCATGGACAATGGTTAAGGACGTTGGGACTTGGAATCTGGAGGCTGAACCAGGTTTGGAGAGGGCAGACAAACTGTGCCATGACATTTCTGTTAGACTGCTGGCCCGGCGTGACGTCTTAAGGATGTAGACAGAACCAGAGGAAGCTGGTGTCCATAGAACTTATACACTGCAACTTTTATTCTGAATTTTATAGGATTTATGGATGGTTCGTAACCCCCTAAATGGATCGGCCACCATAGATAGCTCCAGTGAAGCTCAGAATGAAAGCTGCAATGGGTAAGGTGCCTTCTGACGTAGGAGTCACCAGCCTCCCCTGGACACAGCCGAAACGGACCTGATATAACCAGATGCTATGGAAGAAGCGTTCTGAGGATGAAAGAGCAAGAGAAATCAGGAGGAGATGTTATTACAAATGGAAGGTACCAAGAGATGAGAAGGACATGCACAGCAGAAGGAATAGAAATGCCCTGGGGGTGCCAATCTACCCCTCTCCATCTCCTGCATGGCATGTTTTCCTCCACCACCTGCTATTATGCCCACGAAGGAGGTTTTGCCAAAGCTCACACACATGCGCATGCACACACGCACACCCCCCAAGTAGCCAGGCTGCTGAGCAAATTCTGCTTAGCTGCTGGGACTATATTTAGATCCCTGCAAAAGGGGTTAGCGAGTTGCCTGGAGCCAACAGAACATTGAAGGAAGATGATAGTATAACAGCAGTCAGAGATAAAAAATAACCAAGAGCTTTAAGTAAATCCTTTGGACTGAGCTGGGCACTGGTGGTGGCGGCAGGGGGTGTGGGAGGGTGGGGCGCCCGGCGACAGCAGGCTCGGATTACAGCTTGGGCTGCAAGTACCAACCGGCACCCCCTCGCAGCTACTGGAAGGCAAGCAGAAGGCCCATGCACTTTCATGGCTGGTTTGCGGCGAAGAGATTCCCCCTTTCTATTGCACCACAGACTGCATGTCCACGGTCTGAAGAGCACGTCTGGCCACTCCCCACAGAAGCCTCTGCCGGTGGTGCCATCAGGGCAGGACTCTGGGGCAGGGGACCAGGATTCCTCTTGCAAAGCATACAGCAGGGCTGACCACCACATTTTGAAGCAAATGTGAAGGAGTGGTGTAAGCGCATTACAAACAGACCAGCATTGCAAATATTGCTGTTCCCTTCCGCACCTGATGCAAACTCCAAGTCTGGGGACTGGGAGGTGATGGGCCATTGCTCTGCAATTAAAACTGGCTTGGGCTCACTGTGGGGAGCAGCAACCAAGCAATGCTTCCCCCCTGGACCTCTTTGGCTTTGGGGGGTTGACTTCCTACAACCTACGATGGGGAACAACTGGATGGCCCAACTAAT